TCTGCATGCAATTGGATAGCGCTAAAGCCAATCAGAGCAACGAAGAAGGTGACAGAACTCAGCGGAGCAAGTTGATATATTACTTTTGACGTATCCAGTCCAGCTGTCAACATTGAACATTGAAAATAAGGGAGATTTCCGGGAATCCATCCCCAAAATAATAGATTTTTTTTGTTTTTACACGACCCACAAACTTTAAAAAATAAAACACTAATCATTAAAAGTCTAAAGAGTTTATAGCCTACATATGTATGAGAGAGCAAGAGACAGTATGTGTGTGTGTGTGTATGAGAGAGAAAGAGACATTGTGTCATTAAAAAAAATAATATCATAGAGAATGTTTAAATGCTAAATCAGCTTACGAGGGAAACGGAGGCTTGATATTTTGGCTTGATATTTTGAGATTTTTAATTATCGCATCGGTCGATGCGTTCTGTTTGGTCAGTTTGTCTGAAGCAATGTTTTATTTTGGTGGTAATATTGCCAGTGCTTTGGTGAATCCAGCTATTAGCCTGCATATGTGATGTCGGTGCAAATTGGATGCAAGTAGAGTTCAGCTGTCACTTCATATGCACAAAATCGACAAACTTTAAATCTTTGAATTCAAAGATTCTATGTCGTAAGCTATGTATGTCATATATGTTATCTTTAAATAATGTTATATCATCTAATGTATATCAGCTTTACGTAGGCCATCTGCCACTCTGAACATGTCCGCATCGACAATCAAAAAATAAAATTGGTTCACCACTATGGCTATCTCAAACAGGTCTTTTATAATCAGTGATAATCAATAATTTCATGCTTTTACTGTGCATTTGTGAGTGTGATAAGCTCAGGCCATTTTTTGTATATAATGGAAGTGGAATTCATTTTCAAAGCACGATGTTTAGTGACAAATTATTTTATTGAAACACTAATACATGGAATCCATGATACGCCTCATGCTCATGAATCTCATGCCACCCATATTGCTAAAACTCCTGTACTCTCCAGGCCTGAAGTAGTGCATCCTGCCTCTGTAGTGGGGCTGCTCATACATGAGCCAGTGGCCGTCCATCACATGACAGGACTGGCAGTGAGACATGCGGTAACGGTCCATGATGTTGTCACAGTCATCCATCATCTCGTACATCTGACCCATGAAGTTCTCCCTCTCGTAGATCCTCATTCTGTAGGATCCCCTGTACTGTAGTAGAAGAAAAGTCAGTTTAATTTAAGTTTATAATTTAATTAAAAACATAGATATATAAGCTGAATTTGAGCTCACCATGGGGATCATACGGCAGGACCTGATGCAGTTGCTCATTCCAAACATAGACATGTAATCAGCGTACTCGCCCTTCCTGAAGAAATACTGATTTCCCATGTAGTTGGGATGATCATACATCATCCAGCACCCGCTCTCCACTCTGCAAGAGTGACAGCGGTTCAGGTAGGAGGAGAAGTCACCACAGTCGCTCATACACTCATAAGAGCGACCCTGGAAGTTCCTGTCCTCGTAGAAAGTGACCTGAAAAATCAGAGTTATTGTTTTAGCGGTTTAACGTGAAATATACCAAATCAAATAATTTGACTTAAATTGTATTTTGACAATATTTGCAGGAATGAAGTTTACCTTGCCCATCATGGTTGCGCTGGCAGATCCTCTGTAGTTCCACAAAGAAGAAGCTGAAGCTGATTCTGCTGTCACCCATGCCTTTATACGAGACCAAGACTAAAGACTACACAGCACCTATTGTTATTCAGTTCCTGACTGTGCAAGTTGGCATAGAGGCCATCATAGAACCAACATACATGCTTTTGTGATTTTCCTGTCAATTGTTCTTCAGAATACCTCTGACTATGCCCCTGTGGGAAAAATTTACTAGAATTTTTCGGTGTATGGCAAAATGTCAAAAGTTTATGAAGCTTTTAACTCCTTTTTGGCAGTAAGAATTTAATTTGATTAGCACATATATGTGTATGCAGGGTTCACTTTTGAAATAAATCACATAACTATTATCTTTTTCCACTCTGCACTCCTCTTATACTCTGATTTAGAGCACAGAACAGACAAGCGGAGTGATACAAATGCATAAACTGTCACGGAATGGGTGGATTAAAGTGTGAGGACTCAAGAGCAAAACAACAGCTATATTTATTAAGTAACCTAAACAAAAATCAGGCAGGATACAGGTAACACTATAGGAACATGGATAACATGGACAACGAACCAGCAAAGGACTGCAAACACAGGGAGATTAAAGGGATACTTCACCTCTAGAAAGATAAATGTGGGTCAGATTTAAAATGGGTCATTTATGTAGAAGAAATGTGAAATTATTTTTGAATTTGGACCTTTCTAGACTGAGAAAATGTAATTTTGGCTTATGTGAAGCGCAGAGCGCAGTAGTTGATCGACAAGTCTAGGCTACTAGTGAGTCTCCGTAATGAGTCTGCCCGAAAATGTGTTTTGAGATCGCCCAAAACGTGATTACCGATGAGCGACACCTGTGAGACGCACCGGTCTTGTCATCTCTCACAGAGGAGCGGGAATTTTCTTAGCAATGTTAAAACACACATCAACCCTTCTCTTGTTTAGCATTCACATAAACACTACATTCAGATTCACCAATGATAATGAATTCAGTTAGATTGAAACAAAAGCTGTGCATTTAAACAATGAATGGTGACTGCAGAAAGCAAAAGCTGAATCACGGACATCGACGGCCAGACATGTCCAATGGTAACCCCTACTTCTCAGCTTTCTCCACAGAACAAGAGCCTGCTTAGCTTCCAAAAAAAAAAGATGGTTGACACCACATAATCCCAATCCTCCATAATGCATCCATCTTTGGTCAGTCAGTGCTATAAAACGTGCTATATAAATAAAATGAACTTGAACTTGAACTATGACGTCACCTATGGTGTTTCGGGCTTCCATTGGACTGATTTTACATGTGCTTCACAACGTAATCATGCAGAGCGTTCCCACCACGTCTCAAACGCAGCTCTAAGTTCCCTAAAGGGAACTCACAACTAAAGAGAACTCACAACTGTTAGTACAAAACTCAAAGCAGATCATCAAAAAGGCATGTTCAATTGACTACGTACAATGCGCGAAATTATACATTCACTTTTTCACCACACCCAATCAGTTTCATCAAAGAAATACCTTTCATATGAAGTAATTGTCTTTCTCAATGCAATGCTCACAATACTTGCGTAAATATTTGCGTAAATACATTTGACCAACACTAAATCCAACTGATCTTAATGGTTAATCATTTCAGCAATATACTTTATGGATTTTGAGAACTACAGAAATAAAATGTGTGTTTGTAAGAACATATATATTATGTGAATGGGAGCAAGGGTATGGGAGCAAGGGATCCGTCAGAGAGGTGGGCATGGGCACCAACAGAGAGGTCAGAGAGGTGGGCATGGGCCAATCAAAGGATTGGTCATCAGAGAGAGGGAGGCAGAACTGTATCTAATGAAGTCAGGGCCATCATCACTGATGATGTGGTGAACTGAGGCCTTACTATGGCAGAGGCTGCCAGATTAGTTGATCCAAATCTAAAAAGATTAACTGTCAATTCACTCATCCTAACTTTTCGGCAAGAAAACCGGTAAGTGTGGAGGATGTATACTATTACATTTACAGTAAATTGTAATGCATGTAAATTCATCAGACATTAGGGGTGTCACGATTCTCCAAATCCTCGATTCAATTATATCTTCGATTCTAAGCTCTCTGTCTTACACGCGCTTCATGAGGCACACACGCAAGGTCTCCCGCTCTCTCCCTCTCTGCCATGCACGCTCGCTCTTGCTACGTTAGGTAACCGATTCGTATTTACCTGTTTAGGCATTTTTTATACAGTGGTACTGTGCCATGTTTTACCTATGGTTACGAAGTCTAACTTCTCAGGATATTTTAATTTAAAAACCCTTTCATACATCTTTTTTTTACACAGCCTACTTAACTGCAGTCACTGCAATGGCATCCACATGTGGTAGGCTCCTGAAGAAATATCCCTTATTAGTGTCCCTTATTCGGTCCCGTATTTTCATATAAAAAATACCATTGTCCCTTATTTTCTTTTACAGAAGTTGGCAACCCTACTTATAATGATCAAGTTTATGGAGTTGGCAGTGGGCAGGTGTGGGTCATGTTATTTTGGTCATATTTTTGCTTAGAATATAAAGCATTTTGATTTGTTATGGGCTTGTTTTTGTTAGCAGTTTTTTTTTCTGGAAAGATCTGACACAAGTAAACACTTGTACCTGTGATTTCTTGCACTCGGCATATAGAAGAGAGACATGCTCCTGATGCATGTTTAAATGTCATTAACAACTTGTTCATTTCGTTCCCTCACACACTGCGTAGAAATTTTGTAAACGTAATTTTTGCTACATGCTTTTTTCAGCAGTTAATTTGGTTGTGGAATGCAGTTGTCATTCCCGTAAATTGCTGAACTGTGTGTGTACAGAACAGGATTGGACAATAAAAGGTGAATTGACAACTGAATTTAGTTGCAGTGTGTACGTAACCATATACTTTTTTAAAGATTTAAAGTCTCTTTATTAATAATAATAATAAACTTTATTACAGACTCAACGGTCCAAAAAACAAACAAACAAACAAGACTCTACTCACAATACAATATATAAAAAAAAGCAAAAAAACAAATACAACTTCAGAGGAGACAACTATACCAATGCTTCCATAACTTGGATTTGGTTCCATAACTTGGACCGCGAGCTAAACTTGATATTGGTCAAAGCCACAATTATATAATTCTCTGAGTTATGCAGCCGACATATAAATGTGTACATAACATTTCTCAATGTGGCTTTGCAGAGTTTTAACACCAGCAGCCACAAACATCTCACTGGCACTACACCAGCCGGTCTTCTCAGCAGAATTCTCAGTGCATCATTGTTACCTGAAGCTTATACAAGAAGTTTATACAAGCTAACTTTGCTGAAACTAGACCACAAGTGGGCATTGTGGAGAGGAGTGCAGTAAGCTCTGAACAAAGCAACGTTTTTTTATTGTTTTCAAGAAAAAAATATCTTTTGAACCATTTATTTATATTTATCTATATTTTATTTTAATCTTTCCAGGCAGAGAGATCTGTACCAAGGTAATGTTCAATAAGTAGCTGATAGTCATTGCCCTTTGTTCAGTTTTGGTACAGTGTGTAAATGTAGGTAGATGGACATTCCACAAAAGCAATGAACCTTATCATCACATATTAGATAATTAACGAAATATAATGCAATGATTTAGATGCATGTAAATCAACATTTGGCAGTACAGCTGTCACAAACAAAGTGTATGGTTTTATCATAAATTTTGTGCAAAAACATATTTGTTCTTTGACATTATAAATCATAGGCTCTTTTGAGTTTCAGTGTCACAGGATTGGGAAACTATATGGAAATCATTTGTTGTCTTTCATCAGCTGTGTAATTTTCTTTAACATGACTCCATGATGCGTCTGATGGAACCAACTTTCACTGTGCCAAGACCCATATTATTAAAGCTGTTGTACTCCCCTGGCCTGATATATATCATTTTGCCTTCAAAGTTGGGTTGTTCATACAGCAGCCAGTGGCCATGTGTGACATTACAGGACTGGCAGTCAGGCATGTTAAAGCGTTCCTGGATTGATTCACAGTCATCCATCAGCTCATACTTTTGTCCGACAAAGTTCTCCCTTTCAAAGATTCTCATTCTAAACGTTCCTTTATGCTGCAATGACAAAATGATTATTATGTGTTATTTAGTAATTCAAACAATGACATCAATTTATTAAAAAAAAAAAAAAAAAAAAACACTATCTAGAATTACCATAGGGATCATTCTGCAAGATCTGATGCAGTCGCTCATGCTCATACCCATGATCCTCTGGTTATCAGGATATTCTCCTCTTCTCACCAGCATTTGGTGGCCCATGAAGTTGGAGCATTCATAGACCATGAAGCAGCCACTTTCCACCCTACAGGAGGAGCAGTGGCTCAGGTATAAGCTCACATCTGGGCAGTCACCACTGATCTCATGGCTACGACCATGGAAGTTTCTGTCCTCATAGAATATTATCTGGAAAAAAAGCATGCTTAAAATAGAATGTCACTCTTTATGTTTTACTTTGTTTGTCAATCCATTTGAAAATACTACGTACTCGTGTTCATCCATAAACAGCTGACTGTCAAATCAATGTAGATCTTATCTGGGATCTGATCTGGTCCTTGCTTTAAACTCATTCAAAACAACCAATAACATGTGTTTTCAACAAACAAAGCCCTTACCTTTCCCATGATTTTGCATTTGTTTCAATGGTGTCAGTGTTTTACTGTGTTGCTTTTATACTCAACTTGATTGCTAAAAATCTATAGACCATTGTTTGAACTTCTTACTCAGCAATCCATTTTTTTAAACAGTCCACAATTAGTTACCAGGACTGTTTGCTCCTGTTTCTGGTTGTAGGTGGACAGCTGACCCACTTGTGTCTCAGTCAAAGAGAAATTGACAAAAAGTGGTTTATTGTTGCCTTTCCTTATAGACCTTCAAAGCCAGGGAAGGGCCATAACACTCTATTGACTTCTTCTTTTTTTTTCTTTTTTTTGTCAATCTGACATTGTCAAGCCATGAGTCTTTAAGGAACACTGGAAACTCAAAAATTACTAGTGCCATAATGAATTATTTTAGCAGATTTTCAGAGATTAACAGAGAAAATGTGCACTTCGAACACTTTTCATCACAAACCCACACATTTTGCTCTCTTTTCTGCTGTCTTTTTTGCATGTCTATCTTTTTCTTGTGAGTTGAAATGTTTCTTCCAACCAATCTTGTGCATAACCCCTCCCCTATAGGCTACAGTGGGGATCACTTGAAGGCTTTCAAGAGTCAATATGCTGGGGGTGGATGAGTAAAAGATGTAAAAGTGTGGCACCTGGCCACCAAGGATTTATATTTAATCATGGGAAATGTAATAGGTATTATTAAAAAAAAGTATGATTTTGGTGGTTGTATTCTCTGACTAGGTAGTGTTGTTAGCTAAGTGGCTAACAGCTGGTAGCTTGCCAGCTGTTAGTCATGGCTCATGGCTAGCTGTCATTGATCTGGATTAGGCCTGTCGCGATAGTCAATAAATAATTTAATCGCACGATAAAAAAAAAAAAATGATTACGATAATTTTTCCGCCCATGAACATCCTCCGAATGCAGCATTTTTGAAGGACGCATGGCCGTATTTGAAGGCGGATTGCGTCACAGATGTGCGACGAAGGCTGTCCCAATTCAAAGGCTGCACCCTCCGAAGGTCGCATTTGAAGGCCGATTGCGTTACCGCGGCACGATGAAGGCTGTCCCATTTCAGTTATGCATCCTCCGAAGGTCGTATTCGAAGTCTGGTTGCGTCATCGCGGCGCGACAAAGGCTACCCTGATTCAAAAGCAATACCAAATGCACCCTTCACTTCGACGTGAAAGAGAGGATACATAAATGTATCCTAATAATGTACCCGATCATAAATGTACATAAATGTACCTGATCCTACGTGGTCTATCCTACCCCAAAAGTCATTGCACTGGTGACGACAGCATTTTTATTAAAAAAAAAGGGTGGCCGAGAGTTCGGTGGTGGACGGCAAATGCATATTTAAACGTAAAAGTATTATTTTCATTAATCAAATAGCCAGAGAAACCAGAGTTAAAAGCCAAAAGTTTTTCATCAACTCATTCGTCATCATTGTGTGGTTTTATTTGTCTTGTGGAAACGAAAATGAAAAAAATACATTTCTGTACATTATTATTCATTATTTATTATTTTATGCAACTTTAAATCTGTTAAATAAAATAGAATTGCCCCAAAGCCCCCTCATTTAAAGACGGGATCCCCCAAAAATAAAATTCTGGCTATGCCCCTGCTCCCATGTCCTCCAGTAAAATATATATATATATATATATAAATGACAATATAGCCAATTCTGTCTCCATAGCTGTTTACGCAATTTTATCAAATGCAAATGAATGATCAGGATGGCAGCTGTACTCTTGCACTGTTGCTTGGCGCCAGGAGCGGTAATAGGGAACACCTGGTTGCGCAATTAGAAAATCCCACGAAGGCTACATGGTGCGTCCTTCGAAGGATGAATAGGCTGCATCCTTTGCAGTCTGTGGCCTTCGAAGGATGCAGCCTTCACATTGGGACACAGCTTGGATGTCAAATCTGTTAAAGACAAAACCGACTTATTTTACGTGAATACTCTCCAAAATGGACATTTAACCCTCCTATTATCCTTGGGGTCAATTTGACCCCATTCAACGTTTAACGTCTGTAAATACATCATTTTATGAATTTGTATTTGCTTCAGATCTAATGGCTTTTCCTAATTTAATGGGGACAACTCTGTGAACATAAAATTAACCTGCTAATATTTTTCAAAAGTCCTGTTCACATTTTGTAGCATTGGTGTTCCTTGGGGTCCTATCATAATGACCTATTGTTTTGCTTGATAAGAGCCTTATTCATTGTCTGGAACATTTTAAAGCCCTTTGAATAGTTTGCACTGAAACTGTCTTTTGGACCTTGAATCGTTTGATGCCCAGTAAAGTGCATTATATGGAGAAAAATCCTGGAATGTTTTCATCAAAAATCTTAATTTCTTTTCGACTGAAGAAAGAAAGACATGGACATCTTGGATGGGGGGTGAGTAAATTATCAGCAAATTTGTTCACAAAAAAGTGAACTACTCCTTTAATTATAATTGTGTTTTTATGTATGATGATTGATTTCTTCACAACAGACAATGATCTGCTAAAAAATAAGTTTAAATGAAATTTAACCTTGGTTAAGACATACTGGCATGATTTTGATATTGGTGGTATTTCTTCATTTGACATTGATATTATAAACATGCTATAAAATATGTTGTATTTTCCACTGTTTTTTATACTGGTGGTATATACAGGTAAAAAAGATAAAAAGTGTGTATATAGTCCAAAACAACAGACAACAACATAAATGCATTGTTAGAATTTTATTGTTTATACTTATATTAGCATTTTTTTTTAACCGCGAATTTAACACAAGTCCATGATTCTTCTAACAGAGCTGAATCTGACGTTGCTGTATCCCACATCCCTGAAGCTCCTGTACTCTCCAGGCCTAAAGTAGATCATCCTGCCTCTGTAGTGGGGCTGCTCATACATGAGCCAGTGGCCGTCCATCACATGACAGGACTGGCAGTCAGACATGCGGAAACGTTCCAGGAAGGAATCGCAGTCATCTGTTAGCTCGTGCATTTGACCTCCGAAGTTCTCCCTCTCATAGATCTTAATACTATAGGATCCCCTGTACTGTAAATGGAAAAAAAAAAATGTTTTCATTCAGTCTGATTCAGTACATGTGTAATTCAGCACACTTTGATTCAAATGCACTGAATCATAAATCTTAATCCATGCTGAAAAATTCAGCATTGCGAGCCCGTTCTCATCCTTTAACGTCATATAGAACGCTATATGACAAAACGGCGCTATACTACGCACATGGCACCCTTTATCGTTAATATAACACGTGCTGTGAGGGCTAAGTTTAGGTGTGGGGTAGGGTGTGCGTGTCATATTCACGCTAAAGGATTTATAACGTCTTGGGTTCGCGTGTTATATTAACGATAACGGGTGCCATGTGCGTAGTATAGCGCCGTTTTGTCATATAGCGTTCTATATGACGTTAAAGGATGAGAATGCGTTGGCATTGCTGATCACCAGCATAAGGTACGTTTGCATTTTGGGACTGGCATTGAATGCTGGTTAAGGCAAGCTCACTAAATGTCTTGACTGATCATTAAGTATGAGCAGGTCAGTGATGTGATCTGACCCTGTCTCGAGCAATCACAGATGCTGCAATATTTCCAAACCTGTTTGTTATTATTGCGACGTGGTCTTGTAATACGTGCAATGCAACAAGGTGGAAATAATCCAGCCAACCACAGTGCAAAAAGTAAAAATGGAAAAATCTTGTAATCACCTTTTTAAAAAAAATAAAAATAAAAAATGTGTTACCTGAGGAACCATGCGACAGGACCTGATGCCATCACTCATTCCCATGCGCATGTAATCAGCATACTCGCCCCTCCTCATAAAGAACTGGTTTCCCATGAAGTTAGGACGGTCATAAACCACAAAGCAACCACTCTCCACTCTGCAGGAGTTGCAGCGGCTGAGGTAGGTAGACATGTCAACGCAGTCACTGCTGCACTCATAGGAGCGACCCTGGAAGTTCCTGTCCTCGTAGAAGATAATCTACCAAGAAAAGTTTGTATATTTAAATATAAGTTGATGGACTCATTGTAACCTTTAATAATTGAAGTAACTGGCTTGTTGTTGTTGTTGTTGTTGTTGCTTGCATTAAAAGACCAGGTATGTTTATATAGAGCTTGTGTATGCAGCAAATGTTCAATAAAATAACCTAAAACATATTTATGAATTTGACACATTCCCACATAAAAAAAAAATCAAATAGAAAATCTTTGAATTTAACCATATCTTAGAGGTGTTTGCTGTTTTTGTCAGCTATACCCAATACATACCTTGCCCATGTTTGCTATTCTTTGTGGGATTCTGTCCAGCATACTGTCTGTCTAACTGCTGCCTTTTATACTTTATAGGCTGATAATGGTTTTTGTCATTCAAATACCCTAGAACCTGATGATCAAGCAAGTCTGTGATTTCTGTTAATTTAAAATGTGCAATCACAGCCTGCATGAAACAAACAGAATGAAAGACAGACAGAAAGAGAGAGCGAGAGAGAGAGCAAACTAGCGCGAAAGGGCTACATAAATCGGGCCAGGCAAGAGTTACCAAGTTTGACAAATTTCTTAAAGTACCAAATATTTTCAAGTACTTAAAGTTAAAAATTTTCAGATTTGCATTTCATTACATTAGCGTGTGATATACGGAAACATAATTAATTTTGTTACCATCTATGGTTAAAACACAGGACTCTAGATACTTTCCCATTAATACTCTGATCTTAAAATTCAGTCTTTGACCAAATGACCAAGGTTTAATCGAGAAATGTGACAGCTATAAAACCTTATAACCTAATTGTTTAATTGTGTTGGCAGTCATAATGAAAATGACTTTTTTTTGAATTGTTGAATGAATTGAATTGTTTTTTTAATAGTGTTACCTCATGCTGATCCTAATATTTAAATTGTCACTAGAAACTATGTTAAATGTTTTTAATAAAGAAACCTCTAATTCTGTCAAATTGACAGATTTATACATTGTGTAAGTTTGCATTTAGAAAGGAGCAGCAGTAACCCTTTACAGTAGGCTACTGCTCCGTCACAAATGAGTAAGTAGTAACAACTTTTTTGTAAGGTTTTGGATAGTAATGACTCAAGTGTTCTAAAAGAACTAAAAGTAGTCCTTCTAAAAGAACTACTGTCGTGAAAGTGCGAGGAAAAAAAATGCAGGTAAAAGATGTTTATTATAAATATGATCAGGTCCACACAAACACGACAGGAAAAGAGAGTGGCGCAGGGACCTCAATGGGCAACTGGGCTCGTGGTGAATGCCAGATGAATAAAATGCATGTGAATCCAGAAGTGCGAAGACGACAACAGGAAACAAAGACACAAAGAGACAAATCCAACTGGAATGAAGGCCACGAGAGAACTACAATACAGGACAGAAACCAACACCCGTAACACCACAACGATCTGACAAAACAAGACACCAGTCACTGAGAATATATAGGTGAGTAGAGTGGAATCAGCAGGCACTGATGATAAGCGGTTATCGGAGGACACACTCACACTTACCATACACACTACACACAATCACACGAGACGAGCAAGAGACAACAAATTCATGAGCCGTGACAGTACCCCTACTCCTAGGAACACCCAACGCAAACACCGCCTGGAGTTCCCAGACACCCTTTCCTGTCGATTGTATATCGATAAAAGAGTGATCCAGGATGTCTTTAGCAGGCCTCCAACTTCTCTCCTCAGTCTCACTGGCTCTGGTCCATGTGCAGTGACACCTCTGGATGAGGGCGTAGGCGGAGGGAATCACAACTTCGAATTTCAAGGCAGGAAAAACTGGTAGCTGGTAACCTATGCCAGCGGTTCTCAAACTGGGGGCCGTGGCCCCCTGGGGGGCCACTAGATGGCGCTAGGGGGGCCGCAAAGAAATTCTAGAATATGAAATTATTTTAAAAAAATTATTTTACCTGTATGTAAGTTTGGATTGTCCTATGTGAAATCTGCATTGCATGATTTCTTTTATATTGTAAAACTTTTGTTATATTGTAAAACTTTAGTTTTACTTTTGTAAAACTTAAAATTGTATGTCTTCTAAATTGAAAAAGTATTTCTTTAAGTAGAGTAGAATTTTTTTTTTTGTTTCTTGCTGAAAAAACAGATTGCTGTTCAAATTTGCAAACCAAACTTGAGCCACTGTCATTTACTACCTTAAAATGTAAGAAGTTTAATGCACTTTTTTACAATCAGCAATTTAATTTTTCAGTGTTTATCTTTTACTATGAACATCACAAATGTTCAGTATTCAATACTTTTGTTGCACTTTTCAGACAATATTACGGTTAACTGTTAAAACCATTTTTTATAAAAAAAAATGTTATATTTAATGAAATGTACAATTTAACTAATTTTGTATATTCAAAGACATAAAGCTAAAAACAGAACTGTTGTTCCAGCATTGTACAAATTCATTTGTTTTTGGTACAATCTAAAATTTGTAAGTAAAATTGTACGTTTGAGGATGTTTTCGTTATGAGTTTTCCTTTGGGGGGCCACAAAAGGATTCACCCTACACAAGGGGGCCTCCTCCTGAAAAAGTTTGAAAACCACTGACCTATGCAACACTCAAACGGAGATAGACCCTTGGATGACACTTGTAACGAGTTGTGAGCTGGTAACTAATGCTGTGGACAGAGATCGTATTCGTTTTAATTCTCTGTTTTTAAATGAAAATGCAGTATTGTGGACAGGGCCTTAAAGAGAATGACCTGTTTAGTTGTCTCTAAGTTCATCAAAACAACTATTTCAAAAGCTGAACTGATTTTCTTTTTTTTATATTAGTAAGGATATGTATAAGTCAATGTTTTAACTAATTGAAAAAGCTGAATAATCGTTCCAAACTTAATGATTGGCCGACAAAATATTCGCTCTAATAAACGTTAGATTAATCGATTATCAAAATAATTGTTGACTCGCGATCTTCAGTAGTGAACGCACCAGAGAAAAATGCACATTAATATAGACGCTTTCATCAGACGCGTTGCCATGGTGATGAGCTGGCCCAAAGTTAACTTCCGTTCTGTTCGTTTATTAGTGTTTACTGGATAATATGGCATTGACTACAAATGCAGTGAAAATTAAGGTGATGAGCAGGTTGTTGAGCTGTGGGGTGCAACCTGACCTAGGGAGCAAACGCAATTTTTAAAAATAAAAATGTCAAGGTTTCCTATGAGGGAGACGGCGGAATTAAAATAGCCTATGTTTATCTGAGTGATAACCGGTACAGTGTTTCCCATACATTTATTAGAGGCAGCCCACCATATTATCAGCGCTGACCGCCACATATTGATTTCCGTGTTTTTAACAATTTAAGATGGGAAAAGTTGTAATTGACTGCAGAGTTGCGTGCAGCGCATATTCGCACGCTCTCTCTCTCTCTCTCTCTCGCAAACACATAGACAGCGGACCTCTGTGTATTGAATGGTTAGTATCATAAACAGCGCTGCACAGATCCATCCAACATGCTGTCAATGTGGAGACCCACCTTAAAAAAAGGTTAGCAAGCATGTAAGTAGCCTAGCTAATAAGGAGAGCTATGTTAACCTTATCAAACCCCGCCGTCGCGCTCGCCACAGTTTTTTTTAACACTGCGGTAAATCAGACACGTCTGTAGAAAAACATCTTGTATCCAATTTTTGTTCAACGGGTCTCGTAGTGTCACATTTCAGTTTGGCCAGGTAACATTTATTTTCTTTGACTGGAAAGAAATACCAGCTACTAGGTTATTTACTTGTTATGAATTGTGTCCGCAAGTCTGCCGGAAGTTAAGTTTGGGCCAGATTAATGCACATGCGCAGTACCGTTTGTTTATGTTGTCACTGCTGAAAGCGTCTATAAGTATTACATAAGCAGAGAGCAGTCTGTAGTCTGTTTTCTTTCTTTTGAATTGTTCTGTTTAAAAGTAGACATGTCTGTGAGTCAAGTAGGCTATACGCTGAGATTCAGTTCATTTATGAGACGAGCTCCAGTTCACATGCCGCCACCTCCGTTTCTTTCTTCTTATTTATTAAATCCAGGCGATCGGTTGATGAAACATTGATTAAAATTAAGATACAATTTATACAAAACGAAATTCAGGTTAAAGAAAGGTTTTGTACTTTCTGTTTGATGTCTCTGAAAGTTTTAAAGCATCTTTTAGTACCGCTTTCAGAGCACTCACGTCCGTAACGAAGAACATGTCTGTAACATTGTCTTTTCCTCATAAATGCGAACACGAAAAATAAAATAAAATAAAATGAATATTTTATGTACTGTGGAGACTGAGAGCCAACCCTTCTTCATTCTGTGGGTAGTATTACTTTGGTCACATAATCACAAAAAAATATATTTATATTTCTTTTAGCTTCAGAAATCTGAGGGCCCCCACCCAGCCCCCCTCATGGCTACGCCACTGGTACAAGGACACAATTTTCTCTCAGCACGTTTCCAAATTCGTGTCTCTCAGCAAGGGGACAGATCAGATGATGAGAGACTTGAGACTTGACTTGGACTAGAACTCAAAGACTAAAGACTTGACTTGGACTTGAACTTCCAAAAAATGACTTGTGAACATCTCTGGACCGTGGACTTAGGTGAGCACTGGATTGGGAGTGTGGCTGGAACGCTGATCCACTGGAAACAAGCACTCACTCAACAAATTTGGCAAAGCTCCCTCAAAGAGCCTCCCCGGAGTGGTTTAGTGTGGCTGTGTTGATGCCGTCTGACCAGAATCACAAGGTGAGATCTGGACACTAGGTCTGAGAGCCATAATCAGCCAGTATGCTTCTAGCAGTAGACTTATTCCATCCTGGCAGAGCTTCTCCAGAACTCTTGGGAGCAGAGCATTCAGGGAAAAAGACTATAGAGTATAGAGTAAAGTATGTATTCTCAGCCATGTCTGTACCATAGCGTCCAGCCTCAGTGGACATGCTTATGTTTGACCGTAAACCTCCCATATGCTCCACCACCTCGGGGTGAATTCTTTACTGCCCGTGCCTCAGCCCCTGTCTCTACAGGATGTCTGCTTCAACATTCTGATACAATCAGAATCTGGTGCACCAGTTTGCATAGTGGACACGAACGCAGACACCCCCTTATGATTTATGTAAGACACCACTGACTTGATGTCTGTACGGACAGACACATGATGGTCTGGGAGGAATTGCTTCAATGCAATGAAGACCTCTATCATCTCCATGTAATTTATGCGCCACAAAATATGATGACTTCTCCACAGACATTGAGCTGAGCAGCCTTCCTTTACTCCCTGGCTTCCTTTACTCGACTTTCACTCCAACTGTGACTGCA